TGTTTAGCATCTGTTTGGACCTACCATGTGGTTTTAAAACCTGTTCTTTCTCCCTCTCCCTCTCTCCCTCTCTCCCTCTCTCCCTCTCTCCCTCTCTCCCTCTCTTCCTCCCTCCCTCTCTCCTCTCTACTCTCTCCCCTCTCCTCTCCCCTCTCTCCCCTCTCCCCTCTCACCTCTCCCCCCTCCTCTCCTTTCCCCTCCTCTCCTCTCCTCTCTCCTCTCTCCTCTCTCTCCCTCCCTTCTTCGGCAGGGTTTCCCTATGTAGCCCAGAACTGATTGGCCTCGAACTTGGGGCAGTCCTCCTGCCTCAGCCTCCCACACCCGGCCTTTATTTTTTTGTACAGCACCTTGTTTATACAGTACTGTAATTTTTGCTGATTGTACTGTACAGTACAGTACTGTAGTTTTATGTTGTTATACATTACAGTACTGGATGTAAGAGTTTATGCAAATAGAAGCAAAGTCATCAAGTTGGGAGTTTCCTTTGACCATTTCTTTGTTCTGAATATTGCAATGTACATACTATGTATAATTCCTCATTTAGGGACCAATTCAATTAACAACCTAGCTGTAGGAAGAACAAGAAGTGTGTGGTATACTCTCTTCTCCCTAACGTTTAAAGACCTCAGGTGATCATAGCCTGTTCTCTTGTCTTACCTCCCCTTACTTGTACCTGTTTCACTTAAACTCCAGTCCAGCTGGACTTCCTAACATGGACTGCACACCTGCCTCTAGGCTTTTTGATGTTGATCTTTGCTTCCCCCATGCCTTTTTTTGGCAATCTATCCCCATGTTCTCTATACGTACCTGTCAAATCTTACACCCTTTAAAAAGCCATCTCCATTTATGAACCTCAGTCCAATCTGTCCTGATCTAAATGTGATCTTTTCCTCCTATATACTTTTTGTTTCAGTGGCCTTAAGATGCCTTTATTTTTTTACCCAGAGACATACCTCACCATCTTCTATATGTGGCTGAAATTTTTACTTATTCTCTTTGAATCCATTCTATAAGACCATTCCCTTAGAAGTTCTGTCTAGACTTTGTGAACCACCCCCTACTTCTGGTGTTGTCTTGGTATCTTAGGCACGCTCTTACAATGTTTTTTCATACTCTATTGCAATTACTTTGTAGATTAAGTGTACTTTGAGTCCTCAATTAGGTGATCTTGCTATCTCCAGGGTCTAGTACAATACTAGCACTGAGCAAATAGCTTAATACATCTGTGTGTTGAATGAATAATTAAGTAATTTGTCAAAGCTTTCACTGTAAGTAGTAGAGCCATGTCTTCTAATTTCAAAAGATTTCTGTATCTCAGATTTCTTTGCTACCTCCCCCCACTTAGATTATACATTTTTAGGAGGACAATATTTTTAATTATACATACCCTCGAAGCACCCAGTACACTGCTGTCTTTATTAAGATTATACAAGTTGTTGGGCATGGGAAAGTCTAAAAGGGAGAAAAGGAATCAACCATATCCATTGCATATATATGTTTAACTATTGAAGTTGGAGATCTTGTGAGAATTTTAAAAGAATTACAACAATAGAAACCCCAGCCCACGTGAAAAGGGAATTAACTATCAAGGACCCAAGGCCCCTAGCTGCCATTTCTAGCTTATAAATTCCTTTGCTTGGCACTGTGTTTATAGTCACAGATATGGAATTCATATAATTCCATTTTCTAACTATTGAGGGAGAGATTTAGGCTCTGATTGTATCTCCACTTCCTCTCCCTGCCCTGTACCCTGGAAAAAAAGAGGTAAGACTTAGCTTTACCTCTTGCAGGGCCTCACAGATGAAAACATGAGCTCATTGTTTGCTTGCCCAGAAACAGGAAACCCCTGGGAGAATGTGCCTTCAGGCTCTGTAGTTGGTATGGCTTGTGAACTGAAGAGAAAAAATTATTTTTTTCTGTGATTTTTTTTTTTCCTGGAAATCTTTTTGTAATTAAAATTATATGTATGGTTTTGACCTGTCTCTACCTCTCATATCATAGCACAGTTTCCCATGACATTAAAAACTCTTCATAAACAATGCAAAGAATTATATTTTAGGAGAATATTAAATATATAACTTTTCAGATTTGGGGAATCAATTTTTTCCCTATATTTCTTTTTTCCCCCCTCTATTTCACACAACTTTATACTATGAACATCTCTAAGCTATTGTCATTCAAAGGTATTTTCTTAGGACCTTCCTCTAATCAGCCTCATCTCTTTCTTGGAGCTTCAGATTCTGCCACTGTTGGATACTTCTTTCTTATCATTTCTTTCTTACTCATTCTACTGTAGCATATCCCATTAAGATAGTACCAAAAAAAAAACCCAGACTAAAACAATTATTAAGAAGGCCCACCTGTAATCCCATATTTTTGCCCAAGAATACCCTTTTCTCTCTGTCATCCACATAATCATATTTCTCAGAGCTTTTTTTTTTTTTTTGTACCAGAGATGGAATTCAAGACCTTGCATTTGCAAGGCAGGCGTGGTGCCACTGAGCTAAATCCCCAGCCTCTCAGAGCATTTTTATATGGTTATGTTTTTCTGTGCATTACAAAAATATATGGAAGTGAGTTTTTAAAATTCATGTCAATCATTTAGGAAATATTTTATAATTTCCTGCTCATTCTAGGCAGTGTGTTAGTGGAAAACATGCCATGAAGCCTTTTCACTGAGGAGAAGCAGTCAGTATTTACTAGGTCACAAAATAATGTAATGTATGATTGTGATAAAAGCTATGAAGGGAAGGTGCAGGTAGTGCATGAGGAACTTCTTGTGGAAAGTCCAGAAACATTCATGATCAGTAATTGAGCTGAGATCTGAAAATGTGATGGAAATGACCAGGTAGGGGAGTTGCTTATCACCTGGTAACACTGTTGCCAAGGTCAGTGATGTTCATGCTGTTAGGTCCATGGACATGGACCACCACACAATACTACAGAGTGCATGGGCAGTTTCTCCTCCTGTGAGTCCTGTTGCTTCTTAGATTTCCTGTATCTCTGTCTTGCTTTCTATAGGCTCTTTTTCACCCAACTCAGAAGGTCAAAACTCCTCAGGGTTGTCATGAGCCTTTATTCTTCGGACTTTCTTTTACACCCACCCCCAACCCCTGTATTGGGAACTGAATGAACCCAGTGCCATCTCACTGAGTTACACCCCCAACCTGTGTTGTCTTGCTGTCTAGTTAAGGCTGGCTGTGAATTTACTAGGTAGCCCAGGCTGGCCTCAAACTCATGGTAATCCTCCTATCTCAGCCACCAGAGTGCTTGGACCGTAGCCATGTGCCACCACAGCTGACTTCTTTGTGTTATTTTGCATTGAAACTGGGTCTTCCTAGCTTGCTAAATTGCTAAGGCTGGGCTCTACTGCCTACCTCCCAGAGTGCTGGGATTACAGGTATGTGACACCAGGCCCAGCCTTTTCTCTGTTACTTTAATCAAGAGGGGCTGGGGTTGTAGCTCAGTGTTAGAGCATTTGCCAGGCATGTACAAAGTCCTGGGTTTGATCCCAAGAACAGGGCCAAAAGGGAGTATTTTTATCCAGAGGTTTTTTTTTTTTTTTTGTACTGGGGATCGAACTCGGGACCTTGAGCTTGTGAGCCAGGCGATGGAACCACTGAGCTAAATCCCCAGCTATCCAGAGTTTTTTTAAGTGCACATACAGGCTGATTTTATATATTATCAATCTTTTTAAAAATAAAGTTTATTTTATCCTATTCCCCCCCTCAAGCCCCATCCCCTCCCCATGTACAAAAGCGTTGTTTCCATTTATTCCTTCTATTTTTACGTTTTTTCTTGTCCCTTCCTTCCTCCCTCCTCCCTCATTCCCCTTCCCATTTCCCAACACCCATTATACATTTCAGTCCTTATTTCCACATTTAGTTTCTCATGCCAGAGAAACAATGTGGTATTTAAACATGTGTGTCCGATTTATTTCACTTAAAAGTATGGTCTCAAAGGCCATCCATTTAGCTATAAATATCTGAAGCTCAACCTTCATTATGGCAGAGTAGTACTCCATTGTATAAAAAAACCACATCTTTATCTACTTCAATCTTTTTTTTTTTTTTAAGCAAAACATTTATTGGTAGATAAAAAACATTTTTTGGTAGAAAAAAAACAAAACATTTATTTTAGATATACATAATGATCACATTCATCATAGGGTATTTGTACCTGTGCACGGCATATCTTGCTGCTGCTTTTTCCCCTCATTCTCCCCTCCATCGACCCATCTTCCCCTCATTTACAAAAGTTTTGTTTCCATTTTCTCTTCCTATATTATCAGTTTTAACTCAGTTTACTGGGTGCCCCCAGAGCATCAGACCTTGTCAAACACTGCACACACAAGCCCTCATCCCCATAGTGATACCTGAGATGGTAGTACTGCTGAGATACTTAGATACAGGGTCACTACTGAGGTTTGGGTAAGTGTCCCCAAGGATCTGTGTGTTGAAGGCTTGGTCTGTAGACTGTGGCACTATTGGGATGTGATGGAACCTTTGGGACGTAGGAGCCAGTGAGAAGAATTCTTCAGGTCACTGGGGGCAAGACCTTGAAGAAAATGTTGGGACCTAGCTCTTCTTTCTCTCTCTTTGATCCTCTACTGCCATGAAGTAATCCACTTCTTCCTCCGTGCACTCCCACCACAATGTGCTTGCCACATAGGGCCAATGCAACAAGGTCAAGTGACCATGGACTGAAATCTCTGAAACCATGAGCCATATTAAATCTTTTTGACTTAAAAAAAAGAAAGAATGAAAGAAAACCAAGTTTCCCAACACCATTTGTTAAAAATGCTGTCTTCAACATATGTTTTGGTCCCTATGTCCAACCCTTGTTGAAATTGTATTTTTGAGACAAGGTCTTACTACATTGCCTAGGCTGACTCAAACTTGATCTTCCTGCCTCACATTCCCAAGTAGCTGTGCTTAAAAGCATGTGCCACGATACCCAGCTTAGAAATAAACTTACTTTTTACATTTTCTCTCTTAAAGATATCCATGGAGAATGATTATCTGGGACCCCGAAGAATTGAGAGTCTACAAAAAGAAGATGCTGATTGGCAGCGGAAAGCTCACATGGCTGTATTGTCTATTCAGGACCTTACTGTCAAATATTTTGAAATAACAGCAAAAGCTCAAAAAGGTAAGTTTTCCACTAAAATTTTTCTTGTTAGGCATTTTTGACACTGAATGCGGAAGTACTTTATGGTCAGAATTATACAGAAAAATACGTAAGGATCAATCATCCCAGCAGTTAGAAAAGACCACTGTTAGCAAATAAAGATATGTCCCTTTAGTCCTTTCTAGGCATGTATGTATACATGTACTCTTAAGTCAGTGGAAGAGAATGGAGGGCATGTAAATAGATACAAATTAGTCATTTAATCTTCGATAAACCAAGTTAAGGAGAAATAATAAATGCTATTCAGACAGTTGGCCATCTGTATGCAGAAAAATGAACCTTAACCTAAATGTCAAATCTTCGCAATCAAAATAGATCATAGATCCAAATATATAATGTAAAACTATAAAACTTCAGATGAAAATCTGTTCCCTGGAGTTATATAAATTTATATAATCATTTATATATAGATTTATATAATTTATATTTAGGCAGAGAAGTCTTAGTAATGATACAAAGAAGAAAACCCATAAAAATGATAAAGAGCACAGACTATAAGAAGTTTAATAAAAATGGATTTTATCAGAGTTTATTCTGCCAGACAGTGTCAAGAGGAAATGAAAAGATAAAGAGAGAATATTTGCAAATCGCATATCTGACAAAAGGAAAAAACCTTGTAACAAGGATATATAAAGAAATCCAAACTGAACAGTGATGACAATCCAATTAACAGATAGGATGACAGCAAGTAAGGATAGGAAAAGAAGTTCAACATCATTGCTCATTGTGGAAATGCAGATTGAAACCTTAATGAGCTAGGCACGTAGTAAAGTGGCTAAAACAAACACCGACAGTCCCAGGGGATAGTGAAGATGGCAGAGTAACTGCGACCCTTCCTACCTTGCTGATGAGAATGCAGAATGGTATAGTCACCCTAAAAAATGATTCTGTGGAGTGTAACGGTGCACTCTCATGTGACCCTGCAATCCTGGTGGTTTACCATAGAGCTGCATGAAAACTTTAAAAATAAAACATAAAAGGGCCGGGGATTTAGCTCAGTGGTTCCACCACCTGCCTCGAAAAGTGCAAGGTTCCGAGTTCCATCCCCAGTACAAAAAAGAAAATACTGTATTATATAAAGAATCACACCTTTTAAGCAACTTTAAATATGTTTTGATCTACTGTAGACTGCCTTTGTGATAGCTATAGAGTCTGCTTTTTAGATATATTCTCTTACTTTAAAAAAGTCTTTGGGGCTGGGGATTTAGCTCACTGGTTTCGTCGCCTGCTGTGCAAGTGCCAGGACCCAAGTTCAATCCTCGGTACCAAAAAAAATAAAAAATAAAAAAAAGTCTTTGTATTATGAGTACAAAATATTATAGAAAAAATTAAATATTACTAGGAAAAACTTCACTTCTCTTGTCTGTCAGGCCTTTTCCACATGGGGTTTATTGCATAAGTGCAATGATTCTATCTTTATTCATATATAATTCATAGTTGGTTCTGATTTTGTTTAAACAGTTTAGACTGTTGGTCTTATTTATAACTTGCTTCTCCAGTTTCAGGTAAAATGTTTTTCTATGTGATGAGTATCATTCTAGGACTCTACGTTTCATCAAATTCGTTTTAGAATTTGATATCTCAGTTCTGGTTATTTTATCCTACCAAAAAGCCTTTGGTCCTGAACAAGAAGAGATAACTTATTTGACTTTTTTGCTTCCCTTTTCTGAGCTTGTCCTTGTCCTCTCATGCTGGAGAAACATAATGGAGGGTCTCTGCAAGACTTTAAACTTGGGAGAGTAATGCCCTTCCTGTATGTCTCAGTCAGAGGGCAACATTTATTTGTTTCAGCTCTTTAGAGGAGGAGAAAAACAGGCCTCTGTATTTTTCTTCTTCTACAAAGCTAGAAATAACCTAATTTTGGTATGTTAAGCTTACCTGTTAAAAACACCCACCTTAGGCAGGCATGCTGGTGCACAAATGTAATCCAAGCACTAGGGAGGCTAAGGCAGGAGGATCACTTGGAGTTTGAGCCCAGCCTGGGCTACGTAGTGAATTGAAGCCCAGCTGGAACTACATAGGGAGACCTTGTCTCAGAACCAAACCAAACCATGGTCAGGGATTTAGCTCAGTGGTTCTGCCGCGCGAGGTCCTGAGTTTGAATCCCAGTACCAAAAAAAAAAAAAGAACCAAACCAAACCACACCACATCACATCACGCCACCTTAAATGGGCCTGTTTCTGACAAGATGTGTGATAGAGCATTATGTTTTAAAAATAGATTTAACCTGCTACCTTGTAAACACCAGGATTCTGTCATCTTCAGAGCTTTTGAAAAACATAGTTATAATAATTATATAAGAATATTATTACAGGGGTCGGGGTTTAGCTCAGTGGTTTTGGCACCTGCTTTGCAAGCGCAAGGTCCCGAGTTCAATCCCTGGTACCAAAACAAACAAACAAACAAATTAATAGGGCATTTGAACATTTGAGTACTACTGTGCATGTGTAACCTTGTTTTAAGTTACCAGAACTCCTCAGTTTCTCATTTCGGGACAGCAGGTGTTGATAATACATATTTTGCCTGTTCTCTGGGGTTGCTGGGCAAATTGATAGATTAAAAATCTGAAAAAGTGCTTTGAAATAATACCAATATTGATGGTTGTGATAGGCTACATGAGAGAGCAAAAGAAAAAAAAACATTCTTTCTTGGATTAATGTTGCTAGACAAAGTGGGAGAGACAATTTAGTTACTTACTCTTATTTAAACCATATTATTTAGCCCTCTGGTTAGGTACTAACACCCCACCCCACCCCACCCCCACCCCCGGGTGTTGAGCCCAAGAATAGTTAAGTTTCTTGACAAAAGATACATGCTAGCTATGGGTAGGCCTAGAATTTTAATGGAAATCTGTGTATTAGGGCCCAAGCTGTTTTTCCCTTACAGAGCACTACTGTGTTGGTCTTAGGGTTTTAAAAGATGTACAGAAATTTAAAAACTGAGAAATTTTATCTTATGTTCACCAAACATGGGTAGATTTTGTTAGAGACCTTGAAATTGGAGTTCAGAGAGATCGTGAATTGGAAACATTGCTTCCTGTTAGCGTTCATGTGGCCACCAAAAACAATAGGAGCAGCAAAATTCAGAGAACCAAAAAAAGGTGATGTATCTGATGAAGATTCTAAGCAAGCAGATTCCTCATCTGTCATATAGGAATAGATAATTCTTTTTATTTTTATTAGTATGTGTTTCTAGTACATAATGATTACATTCATCATGAATAAAATGATTTGTAAAGACTATAAATCAAGAAATAGCAATATTCCTCTATGAACGTGGCTAAAATTTAGTTGCATTTGGGCAGTGGTGCTAGAGATGGGAGAGAGCTGAGCACAGGAACTAGTTGTACAGTTTCAATTTTTAACCATGTATATGCATTATTTTTTAAAAAGGAGGCATTTTATAAAAGGTTCCTGAATTGTACTGTCTTATAAAAGATACTCAGGGCATAGTACAAAACAAATTATTACTTTTGAAAATATAAATCACCAGTGAATATGTCCCCACGATTACATTTGGTACTAATTTAGTTCTCTATTTCTTTTATTCATTGAAGTGTCTTATCAGTTATTAAAGTGTAGTTAGGCATGATGATGATGAGGGCCATGGTGGTTATCTGATTTATTTCCCTCCACATCATGTTATTACATTGAGGGACACAGTGATAACACCTGGAATGTGGATTTGAGTGTTTTTAATCTTGACTGAATTCAATTAACATACCTAGAAGAAAGGATAAAGTCTTCACAGAATAAATTGTTATAAACATTTGGAAAGTTAAAAACACTATGTGCAAGTATTTCTTAAGTTATTTGAATAATTAAGTTTCATCTATAGAACATTATTTCTGAGGATGAACTGGGATATGCTATCTTTGAATAACATTTTAGAGATGTTTTATAGGTGATTTATCGTGGAGGTAAAATTCATGTGTGTCTAGTGAAATCTAAGATTTTTCAGTTCTTTAGCATCAAGTTATTTTATGTTTTAATGTCTCTTTAAAAATTATTATTTAATAGCTGTCTATGATCGAATGAGAGCTGATCAGAAGAAATTTGGTAAAGCATCATGGGCAGCAGCCGCTGAACGAATGGAAAAACTCCAGTATGCAGTTTCCAAAGAGACTTTACAGATGATGAGAGCTAAAGAGATCTGTTTGGAACAAAGGAAACATGCACTAAAAGAAGAGGTAATGAAAACCACCAGAAAATTTTATAAAATAAAAAGAGCTAAGACTTAACCATTTTGCCTTTGTACAAAACAATGCCTTTTGGATTGTATGGGCTTGTTAATTTGTACTTTCTCCATAAGATAAACATTTATGATAAGGTCAGTGACTTGATTGCCATTACTAGAAGAGCTAGGCACACCAGTATTCCATACCCACTCTGTGATGCTTGACATCAGCATGCTGTTGAAACAGAAAGAGGCCTAGGTCAGAATTTTGTTGCCTTTAAAGTTTTGTATGTATGTGCGTTTCATTTTTTACTGTAAAAGTTTACAGCACTTTAGCACTTAAAGCCTCACTGCCCAGAGAAGTTTTTTTTGTTTTTTTTTTCAGGGAAGTTTAATAAAAATCCTCAGGCAGTAGCATTGTGTTTAAATTGACTGAAAAGTGTTCGTACCTTTACCTGTTGGAACTCTGTTTTAGTCCCACTGAACCTAAATAGGGTTAATAAAGACTGGTTTTTTGCCTATGCTTCATTAAGTAAATGTCTCCATGGAGGCAGAACTTAAGAAAGATGTTTTGTTCCTATGAGACCTTATTTGAACTAGGAATAGTCTTAAAAATCCTTGAAGAGTGGCTGATTTTTTTATTCAAAATATACCTAAGTGGTATTTTAAAATTTTTAACCACTTTTTTCCTTATCTACTTGTTCATCCTTTCAGTGTTTCTCATTGTGCAAAGTACAGCACTGAATGTACCACTGGTGCTGGAATTGTGCTTCAGAGCATTGAGTTACTGAAGTGGGACACAACTGTCTTTTTGTTCATCTCCTATGTTACTATTTCCAAATTCTGTATTTCACTATAATGAAACTGGGCCAGAACAAATTGGTCTTACTGAAAAGGCAAATAAATATATATAATTTAGTCATCTGCTGATAGTTTTTTAAGTATTACTAGAAGCAGCAAATGTTAAGAGACCAGAAGTACAATATTTTTGGAAATGAAGATGTATCATAACTTTAGTAGTGTGAAGATTGAAGGTCGTGTGAGAGATGACCTTCAAAGGGAGATCAAGGTGGCATATAGTAAGACTTTATTGTTCAGATTCAACTATTCAGGACACACCTTTTATTTTTTAAATTTTATTGGTACATTTTAGGTATACAATACGTTTACATTTATCATTGGGTGCTTGTACCTGTACATGATGTATCTTGGTTCTTATTTTTTTCCCATTACCTGTGCACCC